CCCCCGACACTCTAACCGCTGCGCCACGCCAACCCTCCCTTCTGCGTAGTCCGCCTTTCTCACTGAGACTCGAGGCGGCTTGCAAAGAATAAGTCAATGCAATCAATAGGATTTTATAGGGCACCTGGTGAGCCCCCACTGTTACAGTTGATCTCCAGAGGACCCAGATCAGTTGCCCTGGAAATAATTGCTACTTTGGAGAGTTGACTCCAGGGCCGTGCACCCGACTGAGGTCCCTCCCCACCCAAAACCCCGCCCTCTCCAGGCCCCACCCACCCTCCAAATCTCCAGGTCGGCCACCTCGGGTTTGAGAAGGACTAAAAGCATGGAACATCCAATACACAATGCAATAGCAGCGCACAAATAGGGCTGTGCTCTTGGAATCTATGTAAATGGTAGATTTTTTAAAAAAACCTTGGTTTTATTGTAAAACTTCTTTGAAAGTAAGGGATCGCAAGAGGCACATTAAATTGCTCCATAACATTAAGATAGATGGTCACCCCTGTTGGTCTGAAGCAGAAGAACACATTTAGAGTCCAGGGGCACCTTTAAGACTATTTTTCAGAATAGTATATCACAGGGGTGGCCAAACTTGCTCAGCCTAAGAGCCACATAGACTAAATGTCAGATGTTTGAGAGCCGCAAAACATGAACAAATATTACACGTTTTTATTTTTAAAAATTGCTTTTTTATTAACATTAAACGAGACTGCCAAAAATAAAAACAAAAGGGGTAGAAACAGATATTGATAATGATATTTGTTTGCTAATTATATTTAATTGTCTAAGAGAAAATGAGAGAGGTGGAAAGAAAGAATGAAAGAGGTGGAAAGAGGGAGAGAGAGAAACAAAGAAAGCAAGTAGGAGGGAGCAAGTATGCCTCCCCTTCTCTTTCCCAGCTGCCCTGCCAGGAGCCGCACAATATGTGTGAAATTAGAATACTGAATTCAAGGAATATTGGGATGTCTTCTGAGAACATTACATTCAGCTCATAATATGCTGTTAAGTGCTCTCCACGCCTGAGAGTTGATAATTAAGATTCTGTTACTTCCCACAATTGGGGGGGGGGCACCGTTAGACATTTACCTGCCGTTTTGACATGTTTCTTGCTTTACAACTGTTGATCTTGTTATTTAGTTTTTCACTTTGCATGACTTAAAGGTCACCATGTTACATGTTAATTTGCTGTTAAGTCCCTGTCTATCAGTTTAGAACCTCATCTGCCATTCCAGTGTATTTGAAAAAGTGTGCCTCGCACACGAAAGCTCATACCTCGAATAAACCCTTTGTTGCTCTTAAAGGTGCCACTGGGACTCACAATTTGATCCATAACATTAAATGGCTCCTCTGCCTGACCCACCCGAATCTCAGCTGAATGCAGGCGTGCTTTCCACGTGCTTCATTCACGTGCAAAAATACACGAAAATTTACAGCGTCAAACTGAAGATAAAGCAACAAAACCGCAAGCCAGAGGGCGTTTGTGGGCCACTCTACCCTCTTCCCTAAGCTCTATGATACCATACCCGATCTTGCCCTTTCTTCCGGTTTGCAATTGACCGGGGCTTCCCGCTCCAATGCAAAGGATAGAGGTTTTTCAGTATAGAGTTGTGGCCGCCTAGAGCGGCGCTCCGGAGCATCAGGGCCAATGGCCGCTTGCCGGAAATTCGCTCCTCTTGTGAGACACATCTCGCGTGATCTGAAGACGGAAATCGGAACGATTCTTCTAGTGGCTTTCCTATTTCAATGTCCCCGCCTCTGGCTTCCTCGCGGGTATCGCGAGAGCGCGACGCCCAAGTCAAGCCCCTACTGAAATCTCGCGAGATCCGGCTTTCGAGCTGGTATTGCCCGCACGTGAAGCCCTGGACAAACACGGGGAAGGCCTGGTTCACACGTGCAAAGCTGGGGAGGCATGGCATGGGTCAGCCAGCCGCGTTTCAGACTGCACGTGGTGGATTTCGGCTGTGCATAGGGGACTCATTGCAACTAGAAAACGCACAGCAAAAGAAAACGGCCGTCTTGCGCTGGCTTTCTTCTTGCAGGGTGTTTGTAATCCCCCCCCCCTCGCAATTTGACCCCCTGGAGCTCCTGGCGGGGTGAGCGGGACTTTAGCCGCCCAGTCCCAGGTACAACTACTAGGGTGCCAGCCTCCATAAACTCAAGAGGATGAACCCATGTCCACCCACTGGGAAGTGTTGCTCAAGTTACATTTGTGCTGCAGTCCCACAGGTGTAGTGTTTACAGGCCTGGGTTCACATCCGCCACTGTATCACAGAAGCTCACTACTGACTGATCTTGGGACAAAGTTTGAGTCCAGGGGCACCTTTAAGACCAACAAAGTCTAATTCGGGGTACAGGCTTCTGTGTTCATGTGCACACTTTGGTCTTAAAGGCGCCACTGGGCTCAAACTTTGTTCTTCTCCTTCAGACCAACATGGCTACCCAACCAAATTTATCTTGGGACAGAACAAAGTTAAGAGTCCAATGCACCTTTAAGACCAACAAAGTTTTATTCAGGGTGTGAGCTTTTGTGGGCATGCACACTTCATCAGACAATGAAATGGAGTTACATATAGTTGTATATATAGGAGTGGCTTGTTAAATTAGCATGCAAAATAGTGAGGACACCTTTTTTAACATATCAAAAGAATGACAAGTTTGGTTCCTGGTTATCATCTGTTTCTCAACTGGGGCGGGGAACAACATAGGTAATAAATATGTTAGAACTGGAGATTGATGTGCCCTAATTTGTGAGAATCCAATCCTTAGACCCCATCCATCGCCTTTCAAGCAATGTTGTACACACTGCTTATGAAACACTTTGTACTCTGCCACTGGCTAACAGTCAGTTTACCTTAGTAGGTGCTCTTAATGCTTCCATGGTGCATATGTTAAGTGCCTTTGATGATTCTAATCACAGTGACTGAAATCAATCATGAACATCTATTCAGATATTCACTTTGGTTCATCGCTTAAAGGCATTCTGGGTAAAATACCAAATGCTGACAGGCAAATCACACCACGGTGACCGTGCTTGTTCTTGCCAATCGTAACTGCGCATGCTCTTGATGCCAGTTTGCTTGTGTTAGATGGAGAACACTGCATGATGTACTAATATTTGTTACAATTAGATACTTTTTAGAATTTCACAGCCTAGGAAGAAGAAAGTCTATTGTTTAGCTGGAGAAGGTACAGTTTTGCCTGAGAAAATCCAGCCTACAGGTTCGAACCCAATCAGAATGGTGTTACAGATATTTGACTAACTTTGATGGAACCAATAATTATGTTTTATTTCTAACTATCATAGGGGGTATAAAACCTTATGTCTCCCATTGTAACCTTAGGGAGAGCAGTAGGGTCCGAAATCTTATTGGATCTGCACCTTCCTCCTTTGTTGATCAATAAAGTACAAGATCTGATTCTCCTCTACAAGACTGCCGTGTGCTTTCTCAAATTGGGCTAGGGGAGCACAACCCTTGACGGAGTTTCTGTCTTAGAGCAAGGAGGGGAATTTTACAGCATCTTGGCTATGTAGAGTGTTTTCCTTGTCCCCGGAACAAAGAACAAAGAACTTGGGACAGTCCCTCTTTTCTCAGCCTAAATTACTTCCTTGAGTTCTTAGGATAAAATGGAGAAAGGGGAAATGATAGTATAAGCTGTCTTGGGTCTCTCTGAGTATAAATATATAAATAAGTGAAACCAGTTTTCCAAACAGCAATGTTGCTTGCAGAATTTGGGTGTGTGTGTGTGGAAGCAGTGACCCCTCTCCCTTTTTCATACTGCTGTACCATGAAACTTGAAAAAAACGAGGTCTTTCCCTATCTTTGGTTGTATGCCTTGAACAGCTGAGCTCAACTGCTGCATCCTTCCCCATCACTGTAAAAGAACCATGGCCCCGGTCACACGGAGCATTGGGCACGCTAGAGAGATGGAAGATAGGCGGATTTTCCGGGCGCGATCTCACCGCCACATCTGGGAAGCGTAGAGCTCCCGTGGCTCTCTCCGAGGTACTAGTTTCCGGAAACCGCGGGGCAAGGGCGGGCGTCAGATCACGTTTCCGGTGTTAGCTCGTGGCATCCGGCGCCCGGCGATGTCCCGTCGCAAAAAGCTTTTTTTTTTGGTCAAGTCTCCACGGGTGCACACAAGCACCCAACGGCGCATACGAACACTTGGGTTAAAAAACAACAACACAACCCCCGCAGCGGCACTTCTTTGCCGTGCCGCAGGAGTGAGGTATGATTGGCACCTCCCCACAACCACGGGACGTCGGGCGGGACGTTTGATCCGGCTGCCGCACGGTAGTTCGCTCCAGGGAAAACAGCCATGCCTCACCCCCACAATATCCGGCCCGTGTGACCGGGGCCCATGAGGAAATGAGGGAGGTAAAGGTAAAGGTTCCCTTGCTCGAAAGCCAGTCGAATCCAGCTCTAGGGTTGCGGTGATCATCTCCGTTTCAAAGCCGAAGAGCCAGCACTGTCCGAAGACATTTCCGTGGTCGTGGCCGGCATGACTAAACACCAAGGCGCATGGAACGCTGTTACCTTCCCACCAAAGTGGTACCTATTTATCTACTTGCAGTTTCTTGCTTTCGAACTGCTAGGTTGGCAGGAGCTGGAACTAGAGAAGGGAGCTCACTCCGTCATGCGGCACACTCGGGTCTCGAACTGCTGAACTACTGACCTTCCACAGCCTGCAGTTCAGCATCTTAAGCACTTGAGCCACCGCAGCTCTTTATTACTCTTCAGTATATAAGGTGAGAGTTGCTTCCTAGTTCTAGCCAAATTCAAAGTTTTGAGGATATCACAGCTAGCGATCTCCTGGGTCACCTTCCTTACACAAGGAAACGAAGTCCTGAAAAATCAGAGCAGAGACTTTTTTGGGGTTTTGGATCAGCCACAAATGTAAGATTCTTGGGCTCCAATACTCGCCAGTGAGATATCTTGCATTTACAAATTTGCATTTTGTAAATTTGCATTTTGTAAATACAAGGGGGGTCGCACAAACTCAGATAGCAAGGAATTGCGGGGGGAGAGGGGGATACATGGTTTGGAAATTTTCATCCACACAAATCCAGGATTCTATAAGCTCTCAATAAACTCCCCTTTAACTGACTGAATTCTTTCCCATAGTCTTGTCTCCTGCAGACAAGACATTTTTTTTCTTTCCCATTCCTTTTTCCTTTTGGTTAATTTACAAAATCATGTTTTTCTGCTTATCTGGTATGATAAGGTCGTCGACTCCAGGTTGGGAAATTCCTGGAGTTTTGGGGGTTCAGACTGGGGGTGGCTGGCTGTGGGGAGAGGAGGGACCTCAGGACGTTATAATGCTGTAGAATTCACCCTCCAAAACAGCCCTTTTCTGCCCAGGAACTGACCCCTGTCGTCTGGAGATCAGTTGCAATTCTAGGCGATATCCATGCTCCCCTTGGAGGTTAGTACAAAAACTGAGGGTCACAGTGTTAGGAAGATATGGAAAAATATATAACACTTGTGAGCCAGTGTGGTGCAGTGGTGAAGTGCGCGGACTCTAATCTGGGAGAACCGGGTTTGATTCCCCACTCCTCCACTTGCACCTGCTGGATGACCTTGGGCAAGCCGTAGCTCTGATAAGAGCTGTTCTTGAAAAAGAGCCGTTTCTGTTGTTGTACGCACAGTTTGTATGTGACACTGTTATGCACTCAGCACTCTGTCTGCCTTAGTAGACTAACCTTAGTGGACTCGGTTAGCACCTATGAGATACACAGACATACAGATGTGTTAAGTGCCATTGATGATTCTAATTACAGAGATAGAAATCAATCATGAATATATATTCAGGTATTCACTTTGGTTCAATGCTTAAATGCATTCTGGGGAAAATGCTAAGTGCTGACAGGCAGTAACTGCTTGCTCCTTGCTCCTGATGGCTAGCTGTGACTGTGCATGTCCCTGATGTCGGCTCGCTTGCGTTAGATGGAGAACATGCCACTATGTACCCATATCTGTTACAATAGATACTGGAGGTTCATTTTTGCCTGTGAAAATCCAACCCACAGGTTCGGGCCCAATCAGAATGGTGTGACGGATATGTGACAAAGTTTGATGGAACCAATAATTATGATTTATTTGTAAGCGTCATATGGAGTATAAAACCCTATGTCTCCCATTGTAACCCTGGGGAAGAGCTGTGGGTACTCAAGGATTCAAAACCTTGCTGTACCTGTATTTTCTCTCCTTTATTAATAAAGTTTTTAGCCTGGATTCTACTCTACAGGACTGTGCCGAGTGCTTTCTCAAATTGGGCTGGGGAAGCACAACCCGTGACGGAGTTTCTGTCTTACACTGTCAGAGCTCTCTCAGTTCCACCTGCCTCCCAGGGTGTCTGTTGTGGGGAGGGGGAGGGGAAGGAGTTTGTAAGCCGCTCTGAGACACCTTTGGGTAGTGAAGGGCGGGGTATAAATCCAATCTCCTCCTCCTCCTCCTCTTCTTCTTCTTCTTCACTTATAACATTTATTACACTCAGGGCCAGTGTTCTCTCTAAGCTGAGTTAGTGTGAGCTAGCTCACCGTTTGTTAGCCTCTGGCTCACAGATTTTTGTCTTAGCTCAGGAAGGATGGCTCCAGAGCAAACTTATTTATCCAGCAGCCAAATTGCTGGCTCACAACTTTAATGCCAGTAGCTCACCAAGTAGAATTTTTGCTCACAAGACTCCACAGCTTAGAGGGAACATTGCTCAGGGCTATTTTTGGGCAGGAACGCACAGGAACGGAGTTCTGGCTGGATCCCAAGTTGGCCACACCCGGCAGGAACTCATTAGCATAATAGGCCACACCCAACAGCAGAAACTCATTAGGATTGGCTACATTAGGGGTGTGTGGCCTAACATGCAAAGGAGTTCCTGCTCCAAAAAAAGCCCTGGGTTTTGACAACAAACAAGGTCAGCAGAGTAAGAAGCAAAAGGTGGGTGTGGCCGGATGACCACACTTCTGGTAACATGGGGTGTGACCTAATATGCTAATGAACAGTGCTGTCAAGGGTGTGGCCTAATATGCTAATGAGTTCCTGCTGGGCTTTTTCTACAAAAAAAGCCCTGATTACATGGAAGTTGGCAACAGTAACAATGGAAGATGGTAATTAATGCCAGTCATACTATGGGATGCAATTAATGCCAGTCA